GTGTCGCACACACACATAAACTTTATTTTTGCTTCCTTGTTACGCATGTTGCATGTACTTTCTATAGTAATAGCAATAAATTATGCATTACATAAATTATGCAATATACGTGAATTATGCATGCAACTAACTGTAAACCAATCCTTGACCCTAACCATATAGCAAGTACAATTACACATATATAATTTATATAGTACTAGTAATAGAATATATTTATAGCAATAGTAAAAGTGTATAACATATATATAACATATAACATATATAATATATAGCTATATATATATATATATATATATATAGTAAAAAAAATTTAAATGAAGCAGTATTTGTTGTTTAATTTTTGCTAATTAAAAAAATAATTGTGTCCATTGTGTCATTTCTATATTATATTAGTCAGAATGAAATTAGAATTCCCAAATTTTATTTATTTATTTTTTTGCATTTGAGGTGAAATATGATCCACATTTCTATTTTCATGACTCCATGACTCTCCAAATCAACACTATGACTCTCCAAATCAGTAATGCAACTGACAACAATATTTAGACATGAAATTTAGTGCATTTTTTCATGGTCTCTTTCTTTCTAAATTGTTCAAACTAATGTGGAAGCAGTTGAATTCATTAGCTAGTATGACAACCAAGTTGAAAAGAGCCAAATTACCTTGAAAAGACATATTTGTGATTATTAAAGAAGTATTGGTTTCTTGGGGAATCTTTTGTTCCTTTGTGTGATGGGACAAAATCATGACGTCTTATGGCACAGCAGAGCAAAGGAATAACATCCCAGCGTGCCTCGGGAATCACAGAGCGTTCTCTAAGCACGCATGACACTTCCATCTTTAAATGAGATTAAACAGTGGTGACCATGTTCACCCATCTCTTTAAAGCTTCAGCAAAGTCTTTTTTTCATATTCTCTTGTCTAGATTAGTATGCCGTTCTATATGTTTCTATGGTCTGTAAGTGTGTTGCCATGGGAGCAGTTTTCATCAACTGAACATTAGAGCTCTTGTTTTGTGAATATCACATTATCCACAAGGACAATGATTCACTAAACAAGACGTTTTTGTCCTTTTTATGTTCACAATGTCATTTTTGTGTGCAATAGTTCTACTTTTCTTTTCGGTAAACATTTTTTTTGTATGTAATTAATGATTTTGCATAATCGTAGATAACTTACAGACAAGAAAACAATGGATTGGGTAAGGACGCATGTGTTAAAGTGAACAGAGTGAATAGGGGAATGTAGGCGACAAAACCAGTTACCCTTGAGAAAGCATGCTAGCTCCTGGTTGCCGTGGCGATGGGACCTGTTATGTAACCATGTTGCCGTGGCACGTGGAGTCCAAGACGTCTCTGTCAGACTGATTCACCAGTGTGATGTGTGTACAAGCAACCACATGACTTTGGAGTTGCAAGCGCCATTCTCCATCAGTTGAGCGAATAATCCCTAAAGAGTCTGTTTGTCTGACTTTATTTTCAAAACATTTAAAATAAAAAAATATTAAAACCTTTTAGTATGCATAATTTTACATTTTATATATATTATAAAATAATGTTTTTCCGTTTTATAATGATAATAATAAATAAAATTAATTAAAATACATTTTAAAATAAACTTTCATCTATCATCTAAATTATAAAGGTCTTATTTATATAAATATATTTTTATTTTGAATAATTTTGTTTATTTGTAAAAAAAAAAAAATCTAAATAATTTTATAATGAATAAATTATAATCATTAATAAATTAATATCTACTTTTTATCTCATTTAATTTAATAATGAATATTTTAATTGTTTTTTTACTTTGTAAAAATAAAATTTAATGTATTTAATGATAAAAATGAATTTAAATAAATTACTTTAAATAATAAATCTATCTATCTATAAAGGGGTCTTTTTGTGTAAATATATTATTTTATTAATTTTTAAGAAAACGTCTAAATTATTTTAAATTTAAAAAATAATTTAAATAAATTACTTGGTAAATAAATTCTGAAATAAAGTCTATCTATCTGTCTGTTGTCTAAATTAAGTCTTTATTTTTATAAAACATTTTTATAAAATGTATAATTTTATCATTTAATAATTTTTGTTAATTTGTAAAAATAAAACCTCTAAATGTCTTTTGTCTTTTTTCATTTAATAATTAATATTTTAAAATAATTAATACATTTAAGGTTTTTTTTTTTACTTTGTAAAAATGTAATTTAATGTATTTAATGATAAACAATGAATGTAAATAAATTACATTAAATGATCTATCTATCTATCTGTCTGTTTGTCTGTCTGTCTGTCTGCCTTCCTGTTGTCTAAATTAAGAGGTATTTTTATTTTTATAAAAACATTTCTGTAAAATGTATAATTTTATCATTTAATCATTTTTGTTTATTTGTAAAAAATAAAACCTCTAAACGTCTGTCTTTTGTTGTGAATCAAGTGGTAACATTTGTCATGGAACATATTTCACTGTTTCTCTGTAGGGGGTCGGATTGTCTCCTGGGGCTGGAATGAACACGGAATGTGTGGAGATGGTTCCCTCTGTGACGTCACACAACCGCGGCCAATCCCCAGTTTCAGAGACGCCACGGCTCTTCTGATTGGCTGTGGATCAGGACATTCAATGGCACTATGCAGTTTGAAGAGCAACGAGGATTCAGCAAGCTGAACAGGTTTGAGCGTTTGGCTCTCAGACTGTGACAAAGACTGTGTGCTTACGTTATGGTTTTAATTATTCTGAAAGACTCATTTAAGCCTTTAAAGGACAGATTTTAGATCAAAGTCTTAGAGATGCAAATACCACGGATGCACACATTATGCTTATGACATCAGGAAGCGCCCAAAATAAACGTTTTTAGAAACAAGAACACTAGGTCTATTTGCAGCTTCATGCTAATTTTCATAACTTAAATGAGATTTATTTTACAGGCATATTCTAAATGTTAATATAGTAAATGTTAACGTTTAGTTGATATATTGGTCAGTAAGGAATAGTAGAAATAAAAATTCTCACTCTCATGTTGTTATACACCTGTATAGCTTTTTTTCTCCCAGTTAATTCACTGATGAATTTGGGCTCGTACATACTGTACTAGTGTCTTTGCAACAATTCAAAAAGACTGGAATTCAATGAGAACAGACAAATTCAATCAGACGCTCACTCTCTGGATTGGTTTAACAATTCACTGCTGAAATAGCCATTCACGCTTCCTTTGCTGTGATGGACAGTCAACGATTATTTCCTCTGACCTTTTACCTCACAGTGACAGAGAATAAATACCCTTAAATAACCTTCACTGTGGAGCCATTAACTGAAACAGATTTACTGCTTTGAAATGACCTGTCTGAAAGCACTCAATCTCCCAGAATGCCCTGTGATGGGGCAGTCATTTGATCCCAGAGTGATAATTTACTAAAGACTGGGCGGGGGAGGTTTAAAAAGTGATTTTTCAATATTATTGACAACAGGATCTGTATTTTCATGGGTTCGAATAAAATATTTTGTTGTAAGAGACAATAAAAACAAAATTGTGCATCAAAACCACTCAAAAAAAGATCTTGATTTTCAAAAGTCAACAAATTTGCGACAGCTGAATGTAATATTTTGTCTGTCAAAAATAACATGCGCAATACAATTTATTTATGAGAAAGGAGCCTGCTACCGGATTTTTTCACTACATCTTCACTCTCAGAGAAGAAGAACATGGCAGCCTAAGTAGCTTCAACATGATGTCTGTCAGAAACGTAACATACCTAATACTTAACGCATAAGAGAATAAATTTGTTCTTCACTCGCTGAGATTGACAGGTGTTTTTTTATAAAATGTAGTAATGTGTTAAAATGTGTTTTAGAATTATTTTTGCTTTTAATTCAAGTATGTTTGTTCATGCATCTACTACTTTTTTTTGTGTCTGCACTGCCTTAAAACAAAGCTTAAAAACCCACAAAACACACAAAATCTGTTTTAGTGTTTTTTATTGTCATTATTTTATTTTCATTGCTTTTTTTAAAATCTCTCTTCAGAAAAAGACACAAAATTGCCTTAACAATATGTCAACTCAAACCATCAATGAAAACACCACCTGGTTTTAGATAACTATCCATACTATGCACTGCAATGTGCTGAAAAACACAAGGAACGTCTCACAAAACAGCATAAACGTTTGGGATGCCGACTTTGGAGGTTTTATTATATACTGTTGTTTGTGCTCTGCTGTGGTTAGGTCTTTGAACAGTCCAGCATGTTGTAAGGAAACGACCCAACGTCGACATTTCCCGTGATACAACTGGCAGTGAGTGCACTAGTATGGTCCCAAAGAATTGGGTTTACTTCACATTTTCACAACAATGAAAAATAAATGTCGAAACAAACTTGAGACACAGTATCGGTTCCTTTCGTTTATTCCATCATAAACCCTGTATGTGCTCTATAAAGAGTTGTGTTGTTGTTCTGTGCAGGATTGTCTCTTGTGATGGTGTCTACGAAAACCGCCGTAATATGTGGCTTTCAAAATAGCTTGTATGTTCAGACTGAAGTTTGAAATGCAACCTAAGCATTTATCAAACATTTTCCTCATCAAACTCAATGATGGTGTTGCCATTCATTCAAAAATTCTGAGTTTGGTCCCAATAATGTGCTAACAAGCCTTAGTTTTTTACCTTCAAATCCAACACCACGTTCCAACCAGGCACGACACATCAAATTTTCAGCGATAACGTCTTTTTATGCTGAATCACAGCCAATCAGAACACGATCGATGAGGCAGGTTTAAAAAGTTATTTTTTTTTACTATTATTTACAACAGGATCCTCATTTTCATGAGTTTAAATAACTTTGTGCATCAAAACCACTTATTTCCTAGTTAAAAAAAGAACTTGATTTTCAAAAGTCAACAAAATAAATGTAACTTTTTGTCTGTCAAAAAATAACATGCACAATACACGGTAGTATTTAATCAAATTTTTTAGCGACTACATATTTTCACAGCCAATCAGAACATGATCGACGTACATTAAACGTCAAATATAAATATTTAAGACAAGTAAAATTTTGAATCGGTGAGATTTCATTGTGGGCGGAGCCTGATTAGTCGCGTCTGATTAGTACGCGGTGCATCTCTAAAGTTACCATCCAATCATGTGAGCTACAAAATATATCAAATTGCCATTTGTTCTACAGAAAGGAATGTAAAAGTGAACGGTGCAAACAGTGTAAAAGGCATTTTCTACATGGTAGCTACAATAGTACAAAATTTGGGAAAACAATTGCTCATTTTTTTTCTCCCTACTCAAACATGATCACAAAGCTCGTGGATTTGTTTTTTCTTTTTTCCCACTGAAATGTGATTAGCTACTGGAGTAACATTTTTACAACATTTAAACAACCTAAAACAAACACTTCAACGAGATAAAAGAAAGGTCATGTTTTCATAACACTAGCACACATAAGCACCATGTACAACACTGACACTCACGAACGGAAAAACAACTGGCACTTCGCACAAAACGACAGCATAATAAACCATGAACAAAACAACGCTACATACGGCTGAACAACTACAGCTTCTCTTGGTTACTGTGCTACATCTACGCTGAATTAATTCTCAGTCACAACTCGGAAGAGAAGTGCTAATCTACAACAAACGCACAGCACACACTCACACACACGTGCTAAATACGGTACTATCAGGTGGGGGATGTGGCTTTATGGTTGACACACATAGTGGTTGGTACACCATGGTTCATTACACACACTGACTCGGTTGGTTGTCTGCTTCGGTTGGCGCGCTGGGTCTCTAAAAAAACACGAAGAGAAAACAACAACAACAAACAACAAGGAAAATCATATTAATACACCAAACGAACAGCACAGAAACATGGGGGAGGGGGGTGGGCGGATGAAGAAGGTTGGCGGGATTGTTGTCCCTCGAACCGTGCAAGCAATCAGGTTGATGTGTGTCAAGCAGGTGAATATGACCGTCTTTACAGGCTCATGGTAAACTCGGGGTTTACCATGCACTCTCCCATGCTGCATTCATTCAGATCCGGTGTAAGGCTACATGTTATTGTTAATACGATTAACTCATCAGGTCATGCTGTGATTGGTTTTGTACGCAGTGGGACGGTGTGACATGCTTGGTTAATGACTTGTGGCATGCTACCGGTGTGCGAAACAGGGCACGATCACCGCTAGTCCTGCCTCGGCTCTCCTGTTTCAATCCCCCCCCGCTTTACCGGGAGGTCACACGCTCTCTCTTTGACCTTTCTGACCTTTTAAGATCCAAGTGTGATTGTGCATCCTTTTACCAGGTTTGAATTATGAGCTAGTAACACTGGTGCATAATTGCAACTTTAAATACGGACTGTAAAGTCCAAAAATAGCTGCCGGGAAAAGCAGCTCAGTGATAAAGATAGGGTGAAAGATCAAAGAGACATCACAATACAGGCACAGCTTATTGCCAAGCAACCGGGGGAGTCATGTATGCATGTTCTGTCAAAGAAAACCAGAGTCTATATACAGATTGGATACAAAATTTATTTCATGCAAGGTTCATATTTACAGTTTTGTCATTCGCATATGTATTTTTGCATAAAAGTGCATGCATTTACCTCTCCCCAAATAATTCCAAAAGTACACTGATTATTTTCTTTTTTAGAAGACGTTTTTTTTTCTGTCAACTGCACGATACATCTATATTGTATATTTTCTGTGTGATTTGCTACAGTGTTACACGTTTAGAAATGTGATATACACATGTATGTATTCCAGATAAATTACATTTGAAACAGAATTTATGAAAAATATGGGTTTTTGTGAAAATAAAACCTTATTTATATAATAGCTGGTATTGTAATTGAAATTCTGCTATTTAAATTTGCCTGCTCTGTTCGAGAAAAAGTTAAAGTGCTTTTTTTTTTTCACTATTTGCATCTTAATTTGTTCAATGGCCGACTCAGTTGCTGCTACTAATAGATTCAGGGTGTTTAAAAAACACCAGAAATCATAGTTTGGGGAAAGGCAAAAAATGTTTGCAAAAATAAAAAACCAATTGCTACATATATTGTATGTCATCGTAAATGATATCATACTCTGCATCAGATATATTTAAAGAAGCTTTGGATGAAAAAACAAAAATTTTTCTTACACTGTTTCAATAAACTTACATTGTTTTCTCAGATAGTTTCCCATGCAAGGCATGCAAATGCAAATGAGGTTTCTTCAGTCAAGTTTCTATGTTGGTGACGTGTGCATCACTAGAGTCATGATTGATTAGTGTCACTTCAAACTAACTTTATCTTATATCATATATGAAATAGCCATTGTCTCATCTTTTTTTCCTTTTCAATGGTGTCCAATAGCACCTAATGAAAACCACAGCTTAAAACACCCAGGGTTTTGGGAAAAAAGGAGTTATGACGGAGAGAGAAGGGGAAGAATGAAAAGTGCAGAAAATCGAAAGTGATGAAAGAAATGAGACAGCATAGAGAAGGTTGTGGGGGGGGTCAGATGAGACCACTGCATAGGAAGATGAGACACTGTGGAGAAAAGAAAGAAGAGAAATGGAAGAGGACAAGAATAGACGAGAAGGAAGATGAGGAGAAAAAAAGGGAAGGAAGAGAAGAGAGGAGGAAGGTCACAGGAAGGAGGAAGGGGAAGGGAGGAGAAAGAGGAAAAGGGGAGGAAGAAGAATGCAAAGAGTGGATGTAGCAAGAAAAAAATTGATGAAAGAAGGGGAGGAGGAAGAGGAAGGAGAAGGGCAGAGGATGAGGAAGGAAAAGAGAATAAGAAGGAGCAGAAAAGGAAGTGGGAGACGAAGCAAGAGGAATTAGAAGGAGAGAAGAAAGAGATGAGGAAGGACAAGGGAAGTAGCAGAGGAAGATGAAGTAGAAGATAGGAAAAGGCAGAGGAAGAGGAAAGATAAATTGAAGATGAAGGGGGGGTGAAGGAGAAGGGCAGCGGATGTGGAAGCGAGAAGAAGAGGAAGGAGAAGGGAAGAACAAGAGGAAGATGCAGAAAAAGAGACAATAGAATACGAAGGAGAAAATTAAGAGAAAAAGGGGAGGAAGAGGAAGGAAAAGTGAGAAGGACAGAGGATTAGAAAGGAAATAAGAAGGGGAAGAAGAGACAAAGCAAGAGGAACAAGAAGAAGTGAAGAAGAAGAGTTCAAATGAAAAAGAGTTTAATGAGAGATGGATGGTACACAGTGTGAGCAGGCGTCTCAGCGCAGCACTGCGGAGCGAGGGCCTCTGATTGGTTAGTTTTGTTGTCCATGCTACAGGATGGATGGGATGGGAGAGTGGACCTGCTGCATGAGACAGGGTGGGCTGCAGGGCAGGGCCGACACTGAGGCCACGCCTCCAGACATGCTGCTATGGCTCCATGGCTTTTCATAACCTTCATTTGAAGAGAAAAAGGGCTTTCAGTAAAACCTCAGAGCAGCCTTCAACTCTAGACAAAGACTCTCTGCCAAGATTTGCTTGTGAATAAATATGCTTCTTAAAGTAGGTTCATGGACAGATAGCTGAGGTGCGTGTACTGTATGTGGTGTGTATGCGCAGATTAGATTTGGTTAGTGTTGCCTTGTCATGTACTTGTTATGTGCATGGTTAGCCAGTTGACAATGACTGATTGCCAAGTCAACTGCATCATCCCCCATGCGTTCTATGCTTCAAACTGTCTACTGCATGCATGGGGTGGTTTCACAGTGCTGTACAGCACAACACAAGTTCAGAGGGACATCAAAGAACTCAGCCAGACACATCAGCCCAACAAGAAACAACCGTACATGTACACCCAGTTTACTGGTACTGTAGCTGTTTAGCTACCAGATGATGCTACTTCTGTTAAATATGGTGATAACTACAGGGCAAACAAGCAACAGAAGTATTTCACTTGTATCTGATGCTTAGCCTAACACTTTCTTGCCCTCAAGGTGTTACCTTTATTGCAAGAGTTAAGGAAAGACTTTGATTCCCTGGCATAGTCTTATCTTGACCACCCTGTTGAAATGACCAGCATGGTTGGTTGTGTTATGCATACTGGTAGCAGTGTCCCAAGAAAACTACTTAACTAGCCCTACCAGCAAGTCTTCTTTTGTCATCCAGCATCACCATGCTGGCCCCATCAGTTGGACCAGCACCTAACAAGCCTGGATAAGCATGGGAATTCATGCTAGGAAGCTGGCCTTTTCAGTAGGGTATCATGGCTAATGGCACCTGTTTGCTGTTAATGTTCAACTGAGAGCTTCTGACTGGCTGAGTTCTTGTCATGTGACCACATGCCCCATATCCCATGCTGCATCTCTTGTGAGATTCACCATCACCAGGACCACCCACCTTTGTGAATCTTCATGCAAACAAGCACACTGCTAGACATTATACTGAAGCTTATTTATCTAATTTACCGTATAAAACCATTGTTTTTCATAAACATTGTTACTTTTTAATTTAAAAGTGGACTCTTACATAATGGTCAACGGAATCTGCCTGAAATACGTACTGTAAAACGTACTGCATTTGTATGAATACATTAGGAAAAACTGGCACGGAAAGACTGAGCTATAAATGAAAAGAAGCCCGTTGACAGCTCACTTGGATATGTCATTTCTGTCGCAGCTTTTCCTGTCAACCTTAGAGTAACGGCAGACCTGAGGAGCTATCAGACTGCAAGAAAGAAGGCTGAGTGACGGTCGGTCGTTTTGCACCGAAAGAGCATCTTTGATTGACAGCTGCTCCACTTTCAGACACAGCACTGGCAGTGCTCTGACGGCTATCAGTGATTGGCTGGTTACGTACCCTTCCTGACTCTCCCCCCCGTGTGACTGGCTCGTTCTCCCCCGGAGGTGAGCAGGAAGCAGGGTCTCTCACGGTCCACAGGGCTGAAGACTTCCTCTGGCGACACCGCCTGGTCGATGTGAGGACAGTCCTCATTGGCCAGGGCAGCTTTGGACGCCTCCCCGTTCACTTTAAAATCTCCAGTCACAGGCAAAGAGAGATGACTCATTACAGATTGATGCAAGGTGACATGCAGGATTTATTTCAGGCTATCAACACTGCAACACATCTTGAAAGCCAAACCACTCTCAAAGTTCAAACCTGCTGATATATAAATGACATTTCTGCAAGAAACAGAGATGCTTTTCCCACCGTGCGTGATGGTACACCTATCCAAATTCACCTGGTTCTAATAGTTTCGAACACTAGAAAGCCAGATTGTCCTGTTATATCATGACCTAGGTCAGGGTTACTTAACCCTGCTCCAGGAGACCCACTGTCCTGTCGAGTTTAGCTCCAACCTTAAGCAAACACACTTGAACCAGATAATCTCTTTCAGGATTACTTAAACATTAAAGGCAGGTTAGTTTGAAGTAGGGTTGGACTTGAACTTTGTAAAACATTGGGTCTCCAGGAGTAGGAATGAATACCCCTGACCTACATGTAGAAAATTCAACTTATATTACTTATATTATACATTTTGTTCACACAATTTATTGTCAGTTTCAAAAGCCCTTTTCCCCCCACGTCCTTAAAACATACCATGCCCTTTTAAATCAATAGATTCTCAGCATTCTCTGACATAGCATACTCTAGTGTGTGTAGTTACCCTTAATTGCTAGGTTGGACTATCTGTAATTTGGATGCCTGTGAAAGCTTAGAGTAGTAGTAAGCTTCCATGAGAGCAAATCCACTGAGAAATGAAACGATTTCTGCATTACTAAAACTATTGGTACTTTTTAATTTTCACAAACAAGACCACTAATTACTCAGAAATCTTAATCACAAGGTTCTTGTCAAAATCAAACCTGCCAGTAGATTCATTATTCAGATGCATCCAACTCAAGTTCAGTTCATTCTAGCTAGACATCCAGAGCTCAGCAGATCAACGTGCTAAACTAACAGATTAATGAGTAACATTAAAAGAGTCAAAACATGACAAATCTCAATGATCTTTTCAAATAAAAGTTATTTTATGTGTAACATAGCATGTAACACTCTAGTTTCAGAACTGAAAGACTTGTCCAAAAAGTCAATCTCTTCAAACCCTGTTTAAAATATTACTCATCAGTGTGCTGACTCATCCAATTGCGGTAAAGTAATAAGGACATGCTAAAGAGATTGTTTGTAAGTCTTGAAGGCATAGAACTAAACTTCTACAGTCAGAAAGAGGGTAAAAAAAACTTGGTAAGACCAAATTATTGAACCTCTGAGGAAACAATTTTATGATATGACTCCTTTAAGGTTACCATTTTACTGTCATTTCACTTTGACAGAAATTTACAGATTCTAAAATATTAGCTCCTACCTTGGTATCTGATCTCGGAAACCTCTTCCTGTGCCAGGGGGCATGTGTCACTGTGTGTGCTGGGTCGCGGGGAGTTAATCGCTGACTTGCAGTAGTTGGGAGACCCCAGTTGAGGTGCTCGTGGGATATGCTTATTTTTTTTCTTTGGTAGTTTTTGTTTCGCCATGGCTAGGGAGTAGTACATGCCGAAGTTGTTCACGATTACAGGTACAGGCATGGCGATCGTCAGCACACCTGCCAGAGCGCACAGTGCGCCCACCAGCATGCCGGACGTCGTCTGAGGGTACATATCGCCATAGCCGAGGGTTGTCATCGTTACCACAGCCCACCAGAAACCAATGGGGATGTTCTTGAAGTGTGTGTCACTACTAGCGTCAGGATCGTTGAGGTTTCTTCCAAAACGTTCAGCATAGTAGATCATAGTGGCAAAGATTAAGACTCCGAGTGCAAGGAAAATAATGAGGAGGATAAATTCATTGGTACTGGCACGGAGCGTGTGCCCTAGTACCCGCAAACCCACAAAGTGTCGCGTCAGCTTGAATATACGGAGAATTCGAACGAATCGCACCACACGGAGGAAACCCAACACGTCTTTTGCTGCTTTGGAGGAGAGTCCGCTCAGCCCTACCTCCAGGTAGAAGGGGAGGATGGCCACAAAGTCAATGATGTTGAGGGCATTTCTGACAAATTTTAATTTGTTTGGACAGGTAGTCACTCGGATTAGAAACTCAAAAGTGAACCACACAACGCAGACACCCTCAACGTAGGTTAACTGCACCATAGTCTCCGTCTCGGGAAAGACACGCTCCCGTGTTTCATTGCCCACCATGTAAGTCTCTGTGCGGTTGATGATGGGATTGAAGGCCTCATGAGTCTCCAAACAGAATGTGGTAATGGACATCAAAATGAAGAACAAAGATGCAAATGCTACCCACTGTGGGAAAGAAAGAGAGAGAGATGTTATGTAAGACCTTAATGAAACAGTCATCCAAAAATGACAGTTCTTTCAATATGTCTTCCAAACTTGTATAACGTTCTTTCTTCTGTGGAACACAACAGGGAAAATTTTGGAGGATAGCACTGGTCTACACTGATCTACTGACTTCAGAAGACTTGATACTTAAGTACTTTTACGGTACTTTTTCAATAATTCTAACAACATGACAGAATGACAGAATTCCTTTAATACTTGTTCTTTGAATTCCTTACAAAACAGCTGTAACCCACAGTTCAGCTATAAATAGGTTTTCCCAACATCAGAGCAGACAAAAATAAATACAATTACAACATCATGAAAACACTAATTGCTCATGAACACCCTTTTCAGCAGAATTCAGAGGAAGTACACTTGGATAATGTCACGTCTTCAATTCCTCGACGTGCTTCTGAAAAGTGCCACGTCAACAAATGGGGGGCTTAACAGCTGAAACTCAAGGTCACTGTGTGCTCTCAAGGAGAATGACAGATAGAATGACAGAAAGGCACTAATATAACTGCCCTCCACCGCTTTGGGATAAATTTAACCATACTTCCCCTCACCAGGGACTCCTGGTCAGCCTCCGGAAAGGTTACCACATGCAGATTTGGTGAGATGGTCCCTCGAGTGCTTTGAAAGAGGAAGGAGGCTTGAACCACTTACACGGCACCTTACTGTAAGATAGAACAACAAGCATGGACAGATGGAACTGGATTTCAGTAGGGGAGCCCCACCACAGGATGACGGAATACTGGCTAGTGGTGGAATTACATAAGTGCAAGTTTGGCCATGTTTTCCCTACCATGGGATCTTCTGGCAACTGAGAAAAGCTCCATCCATTATGTATGAATTGATTATTCTTCTCAAATTAAATATTCAATTAAGGCTGTGAATCTCAATGACAAATCATCCATCCGCACATAATAGAAATTCAGTGCATTCTTGGAATTTAATAATCACTGTGACACAACTTTTCCATTTCCTAACAAAAAAATGTTGGTTTATTCTTGCTTGCCTGTTTAGAAGTCGGTATACAATACTGGGGTTTTCTGGGTGGCTGCTTACCAAGTCTCGGTTGCTCCCTTTAATGTAAATGTATGGGATTTTCTCACCCATTTTATCTTACACCGGGCAAAAACTGTGAGTCAGATCACTTTGAAGAGTAATAGCACCCCTCTTCTTAACAGTCCACATGGTTTGATGTATCATTCTCAAGTCAAGCCAAAGTTTAATGCTTGGAACTTGTTCAAATCACTAAACCCTGAATATGAACAATGCCTTGGCAAACAGCACTACCAGATGCATTACATGCTCATTTCTAAACAAAAATACAATTCTTGACCTATTTTCAATTATAAAAAGTAGTGCTGTCAAACGATTAATCGCGATTAAAATATGTAAGCTAGTATCAAATATCAATGTTTTTTTGTTCATATACCATGTTTTCATGAAGTTTCAAAGCATTAATACACCTTCTCTGCCCTGATCTGCCTCTGGTTCTGACGGCTAGCAACACCTCTCAGTTCTTCGGTTCCTTCTATCACATAAATTCTTCCACAGACAGTTTATATCTGGGTCAGCCAGTGCTTAGTCTAACAGACACTATTCCCTAGATGTGCCTCGTTTCCTGTGTTTGTAGGGAGGAGAAACGTTTTGTCCGAAGAAGCCTACGAGCACATACACACAAAAACGCACATAAATGAAAATTTTTTCACCACTTATTAAGATCGCTTTGACCTGTAGAAAAAGCTGTTGAGTTGTGGAAATGAAGGAACTCTATTTGGCAGCAAAAAGCATCTTTCTCCATTGATGAACGTTCAAAAGAATCCATGTATTTTGATAGAAAAAAATGTGCAAGAGAGATTTAAATTGCAAATATTTGAATTTCCTATTGTAGATGTTGTTAACAGTGCCTGGTTTGTTTTTGGAAGGCTCTCAAAAGTGTAAAATAGACTAATTTTTCAGTTTCACATCACAGCTCATTGTCGTGACAATTTCCTACAGCTCCACAGTAATTATGCTCTGATTCATTCAAAGACGGATGTGGGATACAACTTGATATCTTAATGATGCTCGAAAGATGACGTACAACATAAGGACGTAATTAACATGGCATTGCTACACTTCTCAATGAAGACTACTATGCTAGGGTTTGTTCTACAGATGATCAACATAGAGGAAAATGTTGTGTTTTACAAACCTGCCTCTGCAAACAATGCCTTTATTTTTTTTATAGATGCGTGCCATTGTACCTGGAACTTACAGTTTTCACAAGTTCTTTCCAGTTTTGTATCAAATATGCATCAGACGGTCAGTGAACAGACTGGGGCGGTAAAAAAGCAGTTAATAATTAATCAAGGTAAGACATCATCACCGCTGCTTTTTTCTCCTTCACAGATGCCTGTAAATTTGGTGTAATTCATGCAAAATAACAAATATCACCTCAAATATTTGAAAACGGCTCTTTTTTTAATTGCTGAATCACTTTTGCTCTCCTCAAACTGAGGGCGAAAGCACATTCTCACGACCTTGCAAATCCCAGAGGGCAACAGTTTGATCCACGAGAACGTTTTATCCTCACTCTCTCATTGATCAAGATCCAAACACGAGAACAGCTTGATCCCCTTGATCTCAGGGGACACAACATGATCCGTTTCTCCCCCTCTGCCCTCCCGTCACACACTGATGACTTGAAGTGACAGTCCATTTTAAGTTTTATCCCTCCACACACACATCTACTTATTTTGAATGGTCGTCAATGGAGAAAATGCTTTTTTGGGTCCAGATGGTGTATTTACGGCATCTACCAGCAGGGGCTAATGCAACCATGCTAACCAGCCAAACCACAATCTCTTGCAGTTTCCAAATGAATATTAAAAGAGAAACTTTCTGGTACTCTATCTTTCGGTGAATATAGTGCTTTTTCACACCCATAGGGATGTTGACTGCAGACGTATTGACGTAAAGCGGCATCATTTGCAGCCATTTAATCTGGGTTAAAGAGCCCATTTTCATTTTTCAGCCCTTGAAAAAACATGCAAGCGCCAGTGCTGGGAATGTTGAAACTCACTTAAAGTGCTGGTAACTGTATTAGTCGGTGGGCGGCCCGGCGCTGATTCATTCTGCGTGCAAGTGTGTGTTTGTGTATGAACCGATGTGTTGCTGTGATGCTGATGCAGCTGAGATATGAGATGTTCTCATTAAATACATTCAAACACACCCCAACCAGGCAGACTAATGAATGACGTGCAGCTTGATAATTACTGTGAGGATGAGTCTGCAGAAGTCTATATGTATGCAGACAGAGTCTGAACCGATAGGCCTTGTGTGTTCACTTCCTGTTCGATTATGGCACAGTGCAGTTTATATTCTCTTTCTCAGAAGAATTTCTGGGTCTGAACAGGGTTTTAGACTAAGCCAGACCCATTTACACCAAAATGAAGGGCATCGGCTTGTGATTGCATAACAGACAATAAGACAAAAAATTAGCTCATGGTTCCCATGAAAAGAATTCTGGTGGTTTTTCATCAAATCTCACAAAAATATGTCCAGACCACATTTCACACACACACACAGACACACAAAACGAAATGAAATGAAATCAAATAAATATTTATCTAAATTAAAAGAAATCTTAAAGAAAATGTACATTTATTTTTGACTAATACATACAAAGAAATACTGTAAGAAAATAATTTCCTTTATTTTAATCAACATAATGTATCATAACAAATACTTACACAATGTATAAATGCTTTATTTAATCCATATATTTAATATAATTTAATTGTATATAATTATTTACAATTTTAAGAAGTGCAATACATTGATATGAATGGGTAGCTTAACAGATTGAAAGTAATATAAAAACGTATATATATATATATATATATATGTATAAAGATGATAATGTAAAAGAAAATGTGTAATGTAAAACAACAATAGATAATAATAAAATGTAATGGTTGAGGCTTAACCGCTTTTGTAACATTCACACCCTCACAGGCATTACTGTAGGAGAACGACAGGACACATTATCAACCGCAGAGTGGCATCTGTTGTTTGCAATGCAAAGTACAAACTAGCTAACATCAGAAAACAACAGGACGCCTCACTCAAAATGATCCTATTTCCTGTTATATTTAAAAAAAACATGCAACTAAGACAAAATGACCGATTCACCTGATCCTGTACTGAGGTACGGTGCTGTAACCGTCATCATTTTGAAAGAGGACCAATGCCAAGTTTCCAACAGTTAGCTTTATAACAACGTTTCTACAATACTGAGAAAAACATGCGTTTATTTATTTATTTATTTATTTTTTAAATTGACAAAACCTCTATCATTCTTGCCGGTTTCTAACTCTAAGAAGCCTAAACCTTTTGCTTATCTATACAAAATGCATGCCCTCCCAGGCTTCTTGGCTTTTAGTTTAGATAAAGATAAAGAAAGATGTCATCTGTGATCACAGCAGGTAATTGAGTTGTCAAGTTGTAATGTAATTAAGATATTCTTCCTGATGGAGGCGACCTAAAAATAACTCAAAACAACTGAATTGACTTGATCTAGTGTAGAAACGGCACATACAATGCAGTTTACAAGGTTTCACTGCACCACCTATGCGCATGGAGTCCAGCCATGACTCCAACATCCCAATTCATTCATCTGAAATCTGTGTATTTTTTCCAGCCGCCTCCACTTGAGAAGCAGAGAGGCTCTGCATTTAGAAAACGTGGTAAAAAATAATCCAGCACCGTTGACAGGAATGTATATTTGATGCAGAAACCCAGCTTTCCCATCACGCATCAGCGATTGCTCAGACTGTGTATCAAAAACAAGTCGTGCAGAGGATCTAAATCACAAATCCTGGCTGTGGTCGATGTCCATAAGCGGACTTCATCAAACCCATTACTGGTTGATTTGCTATCAGGAAGCCTGGTTCATGTTTCTCTGTGGTGCTGCCAGGAGCCGGGCCACTTTTCCTCAGATCCAGCAGCTCTCTGCTACGGCAGACAGTGTCGGACAGCCTGGCTCCTGGCAGAGCAGCCCATAGCCAAATGAATAATACATTTCCTTCTAGAAAACCAGTCTCACCTACAATTTACTTGTTTAGACGCGTCATCCGCATTCAAAACCTACCTGAAACTCTTTCTACATTGGCGGCCAAACGTTTGAAATAATAGAATTTTTAATTTTTTTGAAAGACCTCTCTTATGCTTACCAAGGCTGCATTAAGTAAAATATTATTGCATTTTTTTAAATCTGTTTTCTATTTGAATATATTTTAAAATGTAATTTATTCATGTGATACATTTTTTTTTTAATGCTCAAATGCCCATTTCTTATTTTTATCAATGCTGAAATTATTTTTTGCTGCTTATTTTTTTAATGGAATCTGTGATACTCTACAATTCAAACATTTGGGGTAAGTATGATTTTTTTTTTTTTAAAGACAAGAAATGGAAAGAAATTAACAATTGACAAAATAATACTAAAAAAAAATATGTTTACTTTTATTCAGCTAGGATGCAATAAATTCAGAAGTGACAGTAAAAACATTTATAATGTTATGAAAAAAATATATTTCAAATTAATGCAGTTCAATAAACTTTCTATTCATTAAAGAATCTTGAATTTTTTTTACACAGTTTCCACAAAAAATATCAAGCAGCAAAAACTTTTTCAGACTTGATAATAATAAGAACCATTATTAATAACTGAGTACCAATAATAATTGAGCAGCCATATTAGAATGATTTCTGATGGATCATGTGACACTCAAGACTGGAGTAATGATGCTGAAAATTAAGTTTTCCATCACAAGAATAAATTACATTTTTAAATCTATTCAGATAGAAAACACTTGTTTGAAATTGTAATAATATTTCACAATATTACTATATGCTTCGATCAAACAAATGCAGCCTTGGTCAGCATAAGAGACATTTAAAATCCTAATTATTCTAACTTTTCCCCACCATTGTATGTTTGTTTTTTTCTACAATCTGCTCGCTTAGATCTTGGAGGACGTCCATCTCCTGCTCCGTCAGTGCCAAAGCGGTGGGCTAGAGTCAGTAGAGCTGACCTGTTTTAACCTGGCTGCCAAAACTCGTAGAAATGCTGGGGTGGCGTTCATCTCCGATTAAGAGCTTATAGGGTTCCTGCTGAGAGCAATGATGGGACAGCGGTGAGGGCAAAGAGCTGACATTTGAAATGAGCTAATGAAATGTCTTACAGCACAAGTGCCCTTAAATGCTTTATGCGAGTGCATCTTTAGTGTTTGCATGCCTTGGGGTTGTGTGTATCTGCGTGTCTCTAGGGGTGAGGTGGCTGCTTGTCACACAACAAAACAGGCGAGCTGCAGTATAGTGGCAGCGTGTTCCTGAACAAAACATGATCTGTATGGACAAGCAAGGATGTGAGCAGTCTTTATTTCCAACGCCTAGTCAGTCAGCAAATCACAGTCGCTTGATAACCTTCATCAGGCAGAGGAGAGAACAAAACTAAAGTGCACTGTGGTAAAGACTTGCAAACAAATGGAGTTATTTTATACTATAAAAGTATGGCAGTGCATGACGTCATTTATGGCCCATCTCATGGCTTCTTTTATCTGACGAAAGAGAAGGTGGGTATTATTTCAAGGTCACCCAGAGTTGTGGGATGTGCTCAGAGATGTGGTCATCCAGAGTCTCTGTATCTCTCCATAAGTCTGCAATTGGGACATTCCACAGGGGAAAACAAATCTCAAGAATATATGAGTAAAAATGACTTGAGTTCTTGAGTTCTATAATGAGGATGTGTTTTGGCCTATTAATAAATAAATGAATAAATAAAGTATATAGTATTTTGTATTTATTCTATGAACATTTTCAAAATGTATTGTAGCATTACATTTTTATTTATATACATATTTCAGTTTGTACTGTAGAGAGTATTATATATATAATATATATACACACACACACACATATATATATATATATATATATATACACATGTATATGTATATACACACGCACACACTAAACGATGTATTATATGAATTATAATATTTTCAACATGCATTCTTATAGTCAAACATAATAAAATTAAAAAATTTAGCTTCACTTAGTCATTTTTCTTCAGAATGTTTCAAATCTTGCAGAAATGTACTTTGTACATTTATTTTATTTTATTTTGAAAATTACCTTTTCAAAGTAGGAAGGACCCAGTGGAATGACCCAGCTGACATGGTTGTATCCATCACTGATTTCTCAAATGATCAATCAAAATCAAGAGTCACCGATGGGCTCATTAGGATCATTTGACCCTCAATTGGTCTGACACGGTATTATGCCTAAGCTGTTTTGCTGGTCTGTAAACTGGTTTTAAAGGGGGTTGGTGCACTATTCACGCTGGAAATCCAACAAACCATAGCTTTTTCCGAAAACACATAGCCTAATAGTATTTCTCAATGAACTCACACGTGCGTATTTTGAGGAATACGGGTCCTCAAAGAGCGCCCACGTCTTCTTCTGCCATCTGCTCCAGCGCCCGGACCTGTTATCGGGCGAGTCGCCTTGCGCCAGTCTCCGGGTCATCTCAACACCCTCATCCCCCTCGGCCGCCTCAGCAACCCCCTCAGGCTCCGGGTCTTCATGCCCGAGATCCAGAGCAACCCCGGCGAAGCTGTCCAAAGCCTCCTCCGCCTCTCGATGCTGCCGGTAGGTCATCCAGCAGCACGGTTCCACGTCTGTCTCGTCGATCCCCCAAAACGCCAGCTCCTCCTCATACAAAGGTCCACACACGTCCGCCGGGCAATGCAGCTTGCCCGTGCGATAATAGTTAAGGATGTGGGCGAAAACGCCGGGGTGACGGTCGAAGAAAAACTCCCCGATGTCCGCATCATAATCGAAGTTATTAGGCGCGTCGGGCTCCGCCAGCCAGGAGAGTCGAGTGCCGGGCAGGGTGCGCAGGGTGCTGCGGTAGGTCTGGTGCTTGATTCCTCCGACGTTGATCACGATGCGATCCTTGTCGTCCCCTTGGCCCATTGCGTACCTCTCTAGTCATATCTCCAACCCGTGGACCGTCATCATACCGCTGGAACCCATGTTCAGAAATTCAAATGTGTTTACGATCGTGCCAGGTGCGCCTCAAAGTGTCCATGCCAACAATAGAATTCCAAAACCCTTGAATGACTTCTAAGATGCGAACGCGTTTTCCCTCCAATACCCCAATATCCCGACACCTCGGCTCGGGTATGAGCGCGTCAGGAAGGTTTTTTTATGGTGTCACTGGGCGCAAGGTGGTGCTGAACGGACAGCGCCAGTCATCCGTCGAGCCTTCATAACTCCAGCGTCCCTCTTGTGTTACAGCTTCCCCTGGGGAAATAAACCCCGCGCTACACGTCCGTTTTCTTTGAGAACGCACAGACGAACCAGCAGCAGATCCTGCCTTCAGCAATTCCAGTAGCCTTTAAAAAGGTATGCACAATCGATGGTGCTTTGAATAGTCCGAAGTCCCATTGAAGCGATCACTTGTGATGACGGTCTGAAGAACCAGGCGTCGCAGCAACAAGGGAGGGTCTTTCATTCACAGGAGCAGAGCTCAATCTAAAATGTGTTTCCACGCGAACAAAAACGCAACATGTTCTCGGGGTGGAAGACGCACTGTATGGAAAGCCGTTTTAAAGTGTAGTTCTTAGAATGAACTACAGTCTATTATGTTGCTATAGCCTAGCGCTTAATGTACTGAATAAATAAATACATCACTATGCAATGCATTCTTTGTCCTTGGAAAAATGAACATCTTATATGCAACAACTATTCAAGCGACTGTAATTTACAAGTTAACCTGGTTACCAGTTAGCCTAGATAACCTGTTGAGCGGTACGGTCCCACATATTATTTCCGTGCCCCTGGGAGTACGGTCCCACATATGGGCTATTGTGAGTTTCTTTCTCACAATTCTGACTTTTTTCTTGCAATTCTGAGAAAAAACGAATTGTGAGATATAAACTCACAATTGCATGACAAAAGTATGAATTGTGAGATATAGACTCGCAAATGTGCAAAAAAAAAAAGTCTGAACTGTGAAATATTAACTCACACTTCAGAGAAAAAAGTCAGAAATAAGGAAGTTTATCTCATCACAGAATAAAAAAATTAAAAAGTAATTGCACAATTTATCTTGTTTTATTTTTATATGTATATTTTTTCTTGCCATTGTGAGCTTATATTCTGAGAAAAAAGTCTGTGCCAGGAACAAAAAACTGCATTGTAATATGTAAAGTGAGAAATCAGGGGGGTGGGGGACTCTGAATTCTGAAAAAATACACTTTTTTTTATTCTATGGCAGAAATAAGCTTCCATAAATAGTGACTAAAATGTGATACAAACATAGTAACTAATAAAATAGAAAACCTGCCAGTAGTTAAGAAGGTGTAGCTGTATCTGTGTTAGTTTAAAGGAATAAATGTTAAAACAGCTTGTCATGCACACTGCGTCCTATTTGTATGAGCAGCAGGTAACCTTGTGTTTATGCTGGAGCTGTTTGTGAACTGCTCCGGGTCCATTTTTAAAGGACAATGTGGTGATGAGGAGGAGGTGCACGACTAAAATCAGAGCACATTTTCCTGGGAGGCGTGTATGACCGTGTACACGTGGAGGCTGGACTAGGGAGGAGGTGATTTGTTGCATTTTGGGGACATTTGTGTGCTGCCTCCCAACCGCAGACCTATGAAAGGGAAATAATACATGCATATGAAATATCAGAGAAGTCTCACAATCTCACTGTGCCTTATGGGTAGCTCAGAATTCATAAATTAATGAGAAAAGCTTTTATTTTTACATTAGAGAAGCTTTAAGCTGTTTGGGGACCAGATACACCAGCCCATTGCAATTGTAGAAATTTCATTAAAATAGATTTTAGATTTTGATACAGATCTAAATTGACTAATATAAAAGTGCCTTCGGTTTAGATATAAAGGTCATTTAAATTTTTTTCTTGTAATGCCATTTCTGAGCAGTCAGAGCCTGCAATGCTTATGTCTGCCTATAGGTGGAAGCAAAGTGTTTGTAATATTATTGAAACACCAAATATCAAACATTATTTGAACAATTTTGTTCTAAATAAATACATAGATACATAAAAATAAATAAATAAAAACAAGATCACTTTTATTTAATAATTATTCTGGCCCAATTTTACATTTCAAAGAAGACTGTGTCTGTTTAGAAAATTGTAAAAATAAATAAATACATAAAAATAAGAAAGCAATTACATTTTTACATGTAATTTAAACATTTCAACACGTACCCTCTTCTTAATATAATTCTAATTGTGTACACTGTCCTTTTAATAGTCACTTTCAGCCTCCAAAAAAAAAAAACTACATTAAGACTATTACAAATATTAACCTTTCTTTCTCTGGTGAACAATTGTGTATATTATATTTATTATAATATTTAAATTCTATTATAGTTACTAAAAAAACTAATGTGCATTATTGGTATTAAAAATAAGACAAAGCCTAGATAATGTAATTTTTATTTATTCAATTATTATGTTTATATATGTACATATTTGTGTATGTGTGTGTTTTAATTATTATTAATAATAATAATTTATTGTATGTGTTAGGGTGGGAAGATTTTATACTCTGTATTGTTCCACTGGATTCTATAACACAATTTGCTTATAAATAAATGAATGAATGAATGAATGAATGAATGAATGAATAATAAAAGAAATAAAAGAACACCCATCCCAATGTTTAATTGCTAATGCAAAATTACTAATGCCGTTTTAATTATTACTTACTGTATGTAATTGTTTTTCTTTTTCTCTCTTTATTGTCTTCTTTAACCTTTAAATTGTTAATGCACCCAGGAGATTACAGACATTGTACAGAAAGGACAGTGAGTGAGGAGAATATTGAAAAGGGGTCATCCATCCGTAATAACTTGTCAGGTGACTCGGTAAAAAAGGTCAACTCAACATCTTATCCAAAAGTAACATGGCACCATGCTGTGACCAGTCTGCTGACCTTGAGGTGAATGCTTCTGGGAGATACAAACTGCAAACTTGAAAATTAAAACAATAATTGGAAGATAAACACAAAATATTTAATGTGTTAAAAATAGCAATAAATGCATTTTGCTGAGATGTTCCCGCTATTTTGGTTAATCAGTATTTGTAACAAATCCTCCATGCTACTCTAAATTCTGGTATAAATTTCATAATACACAGTTTCGCAATAGGCACTCTTTCACCTATTGCAACGTTTTTATATATCTGGTTGTGCAGTTGTCCTTAAGTCAGTATCACCAATAAACAAACTGTCTTTGTCATAAGCATCCTCAACTTCTTAGAAACACCTCTCAGTTCACAAAAATATTTGTCTGGAAATTTGCTAAATACTACACATATTCTAAGTAGGCATAAACCAGTTGACCTATCCAAACCCTCTTACAAACCAAAGCCTCAATTCCAACCAATAGGCGATGAGCAAATCATCACCTCCCACCTGCCACTGTGCATTAGTAATGCTCAGTGCGACTGATTGTCTCGAATCGGTTCTTTTGAACAGTTCATTTCAAACAACCGGTTCAAAAGATCGATTCATCTATTCTTTTACCTACGTCATCACGTGGTTCCTAACAAGACGACGCGACATATACATGTTCTGTGTGCGCCTATATCACAGTTTATTGCGTTTTTATATATACAATTTTATCAACAAGGGTGTTTATTGTATTTTAAAGTGTCCATTATTTACCTCATAAAACAGTTATTTAAAACCTAAATATTATGTGCTACACGGTTTTCGGTTTAACCAGTCAGTTCATTTACATGGATAGCAGTAAGATACTGTGTAGCCTAATAACAATCAAAACCCAGCTTATTCTAACAACAAAACAACACGTTTGTGTGATATTTGAAGTCATAAGTGTTTTAAGTTAGCAGACAGGCGCACATTACAAATGCGCAAGAATGCTGTCAAGTTGCTTGCATGAAAAGTCAAATCAGTGTACAAAAATATAGACCTGCTGATTGGATTTTGCATTAACAGTGGCCTTTAACCGATAAAATAACAATTTACATTCAGACTTTTTGTGTTATGAAACATAATTACAGTTCAAATGTCAATGTAAACGCGCTGGGTTAGTTGTTGATTCGGATTCTATCCGTTTCGTGAACGAGTCGTTCATTCCGACTGATTCATTGAAAAGATTCGACTCACAAGAGTGATTTATTCACGGACACCGCTATCGTTTGTTATGGCTGCGCGCTAGAATGCGTGGCTCATAGGGAAACTTTCTATCGTCTTTTATCGGAGTCTATTTTATTTATTTCCGCCATGTCGGCGGGCATTATGCTTATTAACCTACATCGACTTTGGCACCGTTCCTTCGGTGCCAGACGGCCGTTTTTAGCGAGATTATACCACACTCAGCGAGGAGTCTATGGTTTCAGACCGAGAGAGATTCCGGAGAAAGATGCTGGGCTTCCGCAGATCTCCGCGCTTAACCAAGGTTGATAACTTAACAGTAACATGCCTGTAATATTGTCTGTGTTATTATAATGTTCATGCTTTAGAGACCCATAACGGTAGCGTCTTACTTCTTAACGATGCATTCTTAAACCTGCAAAAACATTAGAGATACAAAGCAAAACCTGCAATGCTGTAACATTTGGAGTGTGGCAATGTATTACAAGCCGCATTCGCTGGCTGTCTGATGTAAACAGATCACGGGCTGGCGAGACTGGTGGAGGCCTATCGAGCACATGGACACAAAGTAGCTCAAATTAACCCCTTACTCCCCCAAACTCCTGTGCTGGACAGCGTTCCGGAGATCGGTCTGTTGAATGGAGCCGTTCATGGAGTCCTCAACACCACTAGTGAGTTTCTGCTTGTTTCCTGGTAACTTACATAATTTTGAAGTTGGTCGTAAAATACCTCTTACGTATTACTAAACGTATGTTCCGGGTTCAAAGGCGGTTAAAGTGTCGGAACGGAATATGGGAGTATGTATTTAGTAGAAAATTTAAGACTTAAGCCCTGTTCACACCAAGAACGATAACTATAAAGATAACGATATTAGCGTCCACACCAGCGAACGATATCGTCTGTTTATTTTAAGCGCACATGCGTCTGCCGCTTTAAATTCTTGAGCGCGTTACAGCAGGATGGATTCTGATTGGCTGTCAGTGTTTTATCGTTCATCAGCTGGAAAAAAATCGTTCTGAAAGTGATCACAACTATATCGTTCCTCTGTATCGTTATCGTTATAGTTGTGGTGTGAACTATGCTATTCTTTAATATTGAGAACGATTTTTAGAACTATATCGTTATCTTTATAGTTATCGTGCTTGGTGTGAACGGGCCTTTAGGCTATATTTCATGATGTCGATTAGCACAAGAAATCATTTCCACATGTTCAGTTTTGTGCAGAAATGGGTTTACAGTAATGGCATTAACTTGAGTAAGGAAGGGAAATTAGTTAAGGGGAAAGGTATTAGGGTTTAAATGCATAAATGTGCACTCTTGTATTTATTAATGCACTTATTGTTTTATAATAACGTTATTATTTTAACTATAATGCTATTATTATTTTGTTATTTATTTTATTCATATAATTTTTTATTATTTTTTTGTTATTTTTATC